ATATCAAGGAGGTTAGGTACAGCACCATCTGCCCGCGAATAGATCAAGCAATAATGTTGATAATTCTGTCAATACAGATCCTGAGCTTGAGACTTACAAACAAACATACATACAAACATACATACATACAGATGAAGCTACTATAAGACGTGTGAAGAAAGTTCAAATTTGTTCGAAGATTATAAAGGAAAATCACTGCACGCACTTTTTGGAAACTCTTAAATATGGGAACGGCATTTTATGAAATTCATCAATGATTCGAGTCCAAAGTGGGGCAACCTGTTCGTACAGGCACCGATTTTAGAGAATGTGAAGACTTTTTCTGTAACGCTTGTGTATATTTATATTAAAAATCAATCAAATCCCAAAGCATCAAAAGTAGTTCTCCATAAAAATACATCTTGGTCAAAACCATTGTTTCGTTGTGGTTCTTATTTTATAGGAGTGCCAACTACTAGATCAATTTATTCATCACCCTTTTGGTGAATTATCATATGCCTCATTCAAGATGAGCCATTGGGGACATGATAATAAAAATAATGATTGGAATATCAATGTAGCCATTGATGGAATGATACTCTCTCTGCCGACTTGCCGCACTAAGGCAGAAATCTTGACAGTACAAATGCAGGAGGCATAGGGAACCAATGTTCACTTACCCCACGGTGGGGGAGTCGTCATTGGCTGACGATCCTGGCGCGCCTCCCCTAATATATCGGGGCTTCATGGACATAAACCGACCTAACATACAGCATAATGATGATAATAATAATAACAATGACAATAAAGATAATGATAAAAAATGTTCATAGAAACTATCCAGTTATATAGTATGAATGAATTGTGTAGTGGCTACATGTTAATGTCTATGAAGTACATAGTCTACATTAGACAATAATAAAAAAGTAGCTATATTGGATTTATATATGAATGCAAGTAAGTGGCGAATGAATTAACATTGAATAAACGTGTACTGTATTTTCTGTGATATGAATTGGAATATTGTCCTATTGTCGTTCTGCGTGATTTTGGCAGAGAGCAAACATTTTGAATTGAACCGAACTGTGCTTACTTTGAGAATTTTTGCGACTTTTTTTGATGAAGTAGGTTTTTCGATTTCAAATTCCGCTGGGTCATATCGTGACTCTGAAGACATTTCAAACAATCACTTGAGCAGCTTGTTGAATATTCGAGAAACTTATCTCGCACTCCCGACCGGTTTTGACGGAATGGTGTGTACGGAGGTGCGTGATTCATTCACAAATGGAAGCAAGCACAGTGAAAATGCTTTCATAAAACACCAGGATAACAGTAATAATGATAATAATAATGTAGCCTGTAAAGTCGTGAGGAGTTCGAATCCCCTTCTCTGCGTGGTCCGCGACCATGGGAGATCGGGAATTGGAGCCTTTCTCTTTAGGGCAGCTACCCGATGAAATCGGTTTAGTTTTCGACACTGAACGAGGTGATCACGACTCTGTCACCGAGTTGGAACCCGTTCACCAAAAAGCTCATATAAAAGCCGCAGAGATCACCTCACTTCTGCGGAAACACAGGGATAAGCCAATGCATGGGGTCTTCTTCAATAACATTGAAGACCTTGGCTTATCCAAGCGCCTGACTTTCGCTTTCCTCAGGTCGAGTGGGCTGAAGTCGGAAACTGAGGGGTTCATCATGGCTTGCCAGGATGGTGTCTTCAACACCTTAGTCTACCGCAGTCTCGTAATGGGTATAGAGGTTCCTGACACAAGATACATGGCCTTCCACGAGCCGTCCGAGACCCTAATGCACTTGCTATCAGCATGTCCAGCATATGCGGTCTCGGCCTGGATCCATCGATATAACGCGGCTCTAAGAGTGCTATGTTACCATCTACGGCACTCTTACGCTATTGACGCGACACCGGTGTTGCCCTACGCTGGTTTTTTGACCTGAGGGTATATTAATCTGTAAGTGAATTTCCGGTTTTGTTTCCTGACTAACTTCTGGATAGTATCTGCATTGACACCATTATTATGACCTATCTGTAAAATAATATCAATTTCCCTAGCTAGATTCTTAGCAGACAAAGGCAGTGAGAATGCTATGGGCAACAGTGAATTCTAGGCTGCTAATTTATGACTGTCTGGATGGAAAGAATCGCTTGGGATGGTGATGTTTGTATAGCTAGGTCTTCTGAAAACATTGAACTCAAATTTATTCTGATTGTGTGTAATGACCAGGTCTAAGAAATCTATTTTTATTGTTAGTTCATTGTATGAGTTTGAAAATGTCCGTATAGGACGAAACTACAGTAACGTTAGTTACAAATGAAAGTGATAAAAAACATAGAAAGTTTCATTTCTATTTTTTTCGTTATGAGTTTCAACTACTTACGAAAAAGTAACACTGAGTTCGTCTGTCTGTCCGAACACGATAATCTCAAAAAGTACAAAATGGATTATTTCACAACTTTCGTCAATGGACGAAGTAAGTGGTGCCAGAGGAAGATTTTTGCGTACAATTCATCAACGTTTATTGGAATATGATGATCTCATTCTTCGACTCCGTAATACCCATGCAAAGCCGAATGAAATTGATTTGATAAATAGAATTTGGAACCTCTGTTGTGAAATGAATATATCGGAAACTCACCAGAACAAGAATACTGTCTTTTGACATGCGTTTTGTTAACGAAGTTCTATCTAAAGGAGATGATTGAGACTGCAATCAATATTAACTACCTTGCCAAATCTAAATCGGTACGACCAATCAGCCTCACATCTTTCCTGTTGCAAGGACTTGAGAGGATACAAATCCCCCCCTGAAAAACAACCAGTATGCTTATCAAACCAGCAAATCGACAGATTCAGCATAAAACAATCTTGTAGAAGAAAATTCCCAATCCCTTGACATAAAGGAGATTGCGGTTGTTGTATTTCTCAATATTGAAGGAGTATTTGACAATGCACTACCTAAATCTATAGGATCACCTCTGGCTAGGAAAGCTATAGAATCGACCATAACTGGCTGGATCTAT